GCCCTCGTGGCTGGCATCGGCGCTGGCCTGCGTCCTCATCTTCACCATCGTGGTGGACGTGCTGGGCAACCTGCTGGTCATCCTGTCGGTGTATCGGAACAAGAAGCTCCGGAACGCAGGTAGGGCCCGCGCCGCCCCCGGGGCCAGCGCCCCTCCGCCCGCAGCCAGCCTCCCCAGCACCGGGTTCTTTTTCCCGAACACTGCGGGCTCGGAGTTACTTTTCTTATTAGAGGGGACTCTTCCTCCAGCCTGCCCATCGAAAGTGCCTTTTTCTAAGACACGGAGTCGCAGCCCCTAAGAGATGGGACGCTCCGCCAGAGTCGCGTTCTCTTTCCTATGGGGACACTCCCGTCTGGTTGTCCCGTCTGAGTTTTACTAGACTGAGAAGCATCAGGTCCAGGTTGCAGAAAAAACTCCTCAAGCAGCCTCTGCAACGAAATGATCAACTGCTGGGTCTTACATGGGACTTAGTTTTCCTAACATTGTTAAAATATGGAAACACAGAAGCTGGCAAAATGCTGGAGCAGCCGCCGTGGTTTTGTTGTTCAGAGTAGTCTGTCGTTAGGAGCCTACAGTCGGAAAAAAAGGCCCCTAAACATGCTGTGTCCGGCAGGCCGCGGCTCCTCCAAGTAAACGAGTTGACACTTTAAAAACAGAAGTTGTTGTGTTAGAGGAGGCAGGTAGCCAGGCGTGAGCAGAAAGAGCACACTTACGTATCATATGCAACTGCAGATAATTTTGTGCTTGAGTTAAACTTGTTTTTTCCTCCAGCAATGCATTGAACTGGTTTGTTCTGTGGGGAACCTGTGGACAGTTTGTTCTTAGGATACTGGATGTTCAGACCTCTAAGTGATGATTAGATGCTTGGTTCTCTGAAGAAACTAGTTTTTTATTTGGAGGCACTTTTGGGAGAAGGTGTGGGGAAGGAAACATGCACTTAAATGTCTGCCAAGATCAATATTTTTGTTTTAACTAGGTAGTTAAGGAAAGCTCTAATTTTGTTTAGCTCCTTTTGGGGAGACTCACCCCTGCCTCTCCCCACCCCCCGTAATGCTTTTGCAGTTTGTAATTTGAGAATTAGTTAGGCACCTAGTAACATGAATTGAGTTTGAGTTTGTAAATAGAATAAGCTCACTTCGTAGATGACTGATATAATAACTGGAGGAATTCTGCTTTCCAGAAGAGGCTCATTCCTTCCTACCCACAAAAACGGCTTTCTCTGGACCAAACAGGTTGGGAGCACTGGGTTAACGCATCCCAGGGCATCCTTGTGGTGTGTGGTGCCATTCTTAACTCACCTTACAGAGGAGAAACTGGGGCAGAAGGTTGTTCACAGGGACTGGAAGTGTGAGCAGGGCTGAATTTCCAGAGCTGGCCTCCAGAGCTCGCCCTGCTTCCTTGCTGTCAACAGCTGTAGCACTTGCGAAGTTTGAATCCTGCAGCACCTTTCAGTTAAAAAGTGTTCACCGCCCGGGGTGGTGGCTCATGCCTGTAATCCCAGCACTTTGGGAGGCCAAGGTGGTTGGGTTGCCTGAGGTCAGGAGTTCGAGACCAGTTGGCCAACATGGTGAAACCCTGTCTCTACTAAAAATACAAAAAATCAGCTGGGTGGTGGCACACGGCTGTAATCCCAACTACATGGGAGGCTGAGGCAAGAAAATCGCTTGAACCTGGGAGGTGGAAGTTGCAGTGAGCAGAGATCGTGCCATTGCACTCTGGCCTGGGCAACAAGAGTGAAACTCCATCTCAAAAAAATAAAATAAAAAGTAAAAAGTGTTCTCGCCTGAACAATTTTACTTCTTGTGTTTTCTGAAGAAGAACTTAAGAAAAGCGCTCCTTACACACACTTTGTATTTTATTTGCTAAGACATGCTCTTAAGAGGACAATCCATAAAATACTACATTCCTGTCGCTTTAAGGGGAGCCCCTTAGTGAGCTTTAATCCACACAACTTTAGAAGTTTCATATTTTTATAATACGGATTTTCTGTTTATATGTGCAGTTCAAGCCATTTGAGAATTTCTGGAATCGATGGTGATTTGAAACAGTGATAAGGATAGCTGATTCAAATGTAAGTTTTGGTATGCTTATTAAAAGTTTTGATGATTTTCAGACCTCCCATTTCAGCTAAATGAATTTTGTTGGCTTTAAGGATGAAATGATGGGAAGAAGAGAATGGAAGAAATGAGAAGGCAAAAGCATATCTAGGCTTTGAACTGTCACTTTCCTTTGGAAAGGTGGTATAATTGCTGTGATTTCTGCCACCTTCCTCCCCTCAAGGGACTGTGTTGACATTTGATTTCCCAGAGAATAAATTGAAAATGGCTAACAACCTGCATGGCAGGGACACTGGACAGCCACAGCCGAAGTAAGCTGCAACCACTGGCATCTGTGGTGCCAACAGAATATTCGCTCTACTCCTGTCCACAATTTGATGATAGAAGTGATACTGCCATATCATATCTTCTGAGTAAATTTGATAGCATAATGGACGATTCCTGCAGTGGAACGCTAGAATTAGATCTTTGCTGTGCACCTTCTGATTTCAGAAATCAGCGAAGCTAAATACCAAACTTCATTTTCCACATCTGTCGAATTGCAGATAATACCTAACCTTTTAGCCTCGTAAGAGTGTTGCAATGACTGTAGTGAAATGGCGCATATGAGAATACTTCGAAAAGGATAAAACAAGTAATACTGTGTTGGCTTGTTTGTTTTCTGGGTACACCTAACAAAGGTGTGCTCTGTTTGTTGGAAATCATTGCGCTATAGACCTATGATTCATGCACTTTTCTTTATGTACATTATACTCAAATAAAACTTATTTTACAAAGTATCAGGCAAGAGTACAATACTATCTTGCCTATTCAAAATTCAATTATCTGGCAATCTAACTGAGGTAGAATACAGCCAATAAATGGAAATTAGCAAAAATGACAGGCTTTCACCTACAGATTTGTTCTGACTTAGAGTGCCACAAAGCTGTGATGCTGGTGTCTAGTTCCCTGTAGATTATGAGCAGGAAGTTAGGAGGAAGATTGACACAGTTAAAGAAATAGCACATCATAGCAAGCAGCATGGGTTGAAATAGACTCATTAAAAGTAGGTCTGAGAAACAGAACAAGCACAACCTTTTGTGCTTACATTGTGAGAATGCAAATAACCCTGCTCACCATTAACTGCTCCTGAAAGCGGCACAGTGCAGGAACGCATTTATTATCATCACCCGATTCACCAGCGAGAGGTGTCATCATGAGTGGTGTGTTCTTCTTAAGAAGACAGGGATATAATATATTTTAGAAAGACACCTGTCAAAAGCAGTTTATTATTATTATTTAATCTGTGTGCACAGTAGGGTAAACTTGTCAGTATATGTTAAAAAAAAAAAAAAAGTAGTTTCCCAGGATGGCTCTATGGCTGGATGGCTGATACTGTGCTAAGCCTCTCTTGCACTTGTTTCTTTTAGGTCTCTATAGAATGTTATAATTATCCATTCTGCATTACCACTCAGAGAGGATACATAGAGTACGGAACGAATGTGGACTTTGGGCCTCAGAGATCTGGTTCAAATCTTGGATGTACCACAGCTGTTTTAAGATGCTGCTTATCTTATAGGGATACTAGAAGGATAAACTTAGATTCTGCCCATCAGTCCACCTACTTACCCATCCACCCACCTATACATCCACCCACCTATACATCCACCCACCTATTCATCCATCCACCCACCCATCGTCCATCCATCCATCCATCTATCCATCCATCCATCTACCTACCCACTTACCTATCATTTTGAGGTACAAATAATAGTATTATGATGTTATTACTAGTATGCATCCAATGACTAGTTCTTTTTAGGTTGTTTTTATTTTTTAAATGTTCATTTATTTTTAAGTGTATGTTTTAAAAAAACAAGAAGTGGAAGTGAACTGGAAGAGTGAAATCAGTCAGAAATGGAAGGGTTAGAACTGAATTCCCATTTGTGATGTTATGCAAAATACACAAAATCTCCATTGTCTGACTTTTCCCTTTTGCAACAACCATTATCTCTCTGCAACAAGAAGGCCTGAGATTTAAAGACTGATTATTTCGATATCGGCTGTTCTCTAATTTTAAGTGAATCAGCTCTAGAAGCAACAGTGGCTTCCTTGGGCAAGCATGCTACTATTCAAAAACCTACGCCCTAACTTGTACTGTGCAGACTTGGAAAATGATTTCAAGCTAACCCCGCTTCACGTGATCTCCAAGCCGAGAGGTTTCTTATTGGCGCTGCTGTAGTTCCCTCCTGTAGCTTTCCACAGTATTTCAAATTACTGACTCAAAGCAATTTTTTACCCTACAGACATTTTATTGATTTTTCCCCCTTGTATTCTTAGCTGTTGTTCAGATTTCTATGACTTTCTATCCTGGTTTGTATAGTACATTGTTATGGAACTCTAAGTTTTTACAAATATGTCAAAGTAATTCCCAGAATCCCCTGTAAACCTTATGACAGTAGTTTCAGACTCTCAGGTACATGATTGAATTTGGGTCTGATCTTTGGTTCCTCCAGCAATTCATTTCATAAGAAAGTATTTCTGGCAGGAATTTTCGGTGTTAAATTCATCGCAGAAAAGATAGAGCTTACTTTTGCTGGCTTTCAGCATCATTTTTCTCTTGGCAATTTTGGAAGTTAACCAAGGATAAAATAGTCCTAGATTAAACCTCCTGCTATTAGTATTTACTGCCATTTGATGGTTCTGTTTAAAAAATATCTGCATTGAAAGCTATCGTGCCTTGGAAGTCACTTTAAATCTCCACACAGTCTTTGGAGCTCATTCTACCCATTCTTCCTTAGCACCTTTAAAAAATAATCACCAGAAAAACTGAAGTGAATGGTAAGATCTTTACAAGGTGCCTTGAGTTTTCCCTTTTTTTCTAAGTATTTGTAAGTTGCCTCGCTGATAGAAATACCCTTTCTTCTAAAAAGGAAATTGACATACTCCTTTAGAGTTTTCTAGTACCAATGAAGCAATTCATGGATTGTTGTTAAAGAAGCATTTATGCATGCACAGAGCTCTGCACGGTATCATTGGCGCCATCTCTGCCTCTTCGTGAAGGTAATCAGCCGCCTCACTTC